ATAACCAATAGCAAAGTAGGAACTATAATGACAAAATACAGAAGTGAGGATTTCACAACGCCATCTATAAAGACAGACGCGTTTCCTAACCATGTCTATTGATAAGTGAGTTCTTACCAAACAGAAAACTGTCAAACTAAATTTCTTTTTACATCTTCTAAGCTCTTCCCTTTCTCTGGAGGTGAGAGATCGGATCACCTTCCTAACAGCCCCAAATGGCCTTATGTCAATATGACTGGTTTGAAATGTGTGCGGATGTGACTGTTCGCTTCCCAGCTTACGGCTTCTCCCGCTGCTTAGCCAAAGGCCTTAGCCTAAGAACAGGGCTTCAGACTGTCACAGCGAGAAAAGGCCCTTACACGGGCAGACAGTGATTCTGAATCTTTCTTTTATACCTCTAGAACTAGCTACATGATAAACATATACCTACATTCTTAAAGTATAGGCCTTTACAGACAGGCCTGAATCTATATCCTAACACAGGGCTGTGAGGTCTCCCTGCACTAGCCTGGGCCTTTTCTCTGGACGGTTCTGTTCCAGTTGGGTATGGACCTGTGGCTACTAAACCTGTACATGGCAGGTGCAAGCTCACCTGCTCTGAGTAGGGTTTAAACTGATGGAAGTGTTAAACCAGAACAACTTATGTGTGTGGACGGGTCAGAATCCAAACCCAGTGCCTGTTCTGGTACCTGCAACGTGCCATTACCTAGCTCTTTAAATGCCACTACACCACTGCAAGGAGGCTGGGTAACAAAACAAGAATTGCAATTCATAGAATTGAGGGACTGGAAGGGACTTCGAGAGGTCATCTAGTCCAGTCCCCTAAGTATTATCTAGACCAACCCTGACAGGTGTTTGTCTAACCTGTTCTTAAACACCTCCAACGATGGAGATTCCACAACCTGCTTTGGTAATTTATTCCAGTGCTTAACTGCCCTAACAGGAAGCTTCCCTAATGTCCAACCTAAACTGCCCTTGCTTCAATTTAAAGCCATGGCTGCTTCTCCTATCCTCAGAGGTTAACAAGAACAATTTTTCTCCCTCCTCTTTGTAACAACCTTTTGTATATTTGAAATCTGTTATGTCCCCTCTTTCTTCTCCAGCCTAAACAAACCCAATTTTTTCAATCTTCCCACATAGGTCATGTTTTCTAGACCAGTGGCTCCGAACCTTTCTAGACTACTGTATCCCTTTCAGGTGTCTGATTTGTCTTGTGTACCCCCAAGTTTCACCTCAGTTAAAAACTACTTGCTTACAAAATCAGACACAGAAATACAGAAGTGTCCCAGCACTCTATTACTGAAAAATGGCTTCCTTTCTCATTTTTACCATATAATTATAAAATATATCAATTGGAATATAAAGATTGTACATTTCAGTGTAGTATATAGAGAGTATAAAATCATTGGCTGTGGGAAATTTTAGTGTGTGCTGATTTTGCTAGTGCTTTTTACGTAGCCTGTTAAACTAGGCAAAGAGCTAGATGAGTGCTGTACCCCCTGGAAAACCTCTGAGTACCCCAGGAGTACACGTACCCCTGGTTGAGAACCACTGTTCTAGACCTTTGATCAGTTTGTTGCTTTCTCCAGTTTGTCCACATCTTTCTTGAAATGTGGCACCCGGAACTGGACACACTATTTTATCCCAGCTGAGGCCTTATCAGCAGAATTACTTCTCGTGGGTTGCTTACAACACTCCTGCTAATTGGAGCTGGTTGATATTAGTGAAACCTGGGGGAATGATTTGCATGCTTAGGATATTAAAGATCAATGGTTGTAACCTATTTAGTAAGAGGAATAAAAAGGGGCAAAAGGGGAGGGGAGCTTGATGTCAAAAAGGCCATTACCTGTTTGAGACACTGATAACAGAAGAAAGTGCTGGTGAATGCTTATAGATCAATGTCTAACAGATAAAGCACAAGATGGGGTATTAGTTGGTGTCTATAACAGCCCACCATACACTAGGGAACAGGCTGACTGGCTCCTTACACACCTATCTATAAAATGTAGAGAAAAAACTGATCCTGGGAGACTTCAAGTAGAGTGACACGTGCTGCCTGTATTAAAACATCCTTGTGTTTCGGGTGGGGGGCAGGGCTTGCTGCTTGGCCCCTCTCGCTATTTAACATTTTTATGAATGAAACACAACAAAATCATCACCGAAAAAGTTTGCAGATGATATCAAAATTGGGGGAGTGGTAAATGAAGAGGACAAGTCACTGGTTCAGAGCAAGCTGGATTGCTTGATAAACTGGGTGCAAGGAAAGGGCACGTGTTTTAATACAGCTAAATGTAAATCTAGGAACAAAGAATGCTATACCGACAGGATGGGGGGGCTATCCTGGGAAGCAATAACTCTGAAAGTGGTTTTTTGGGGGGGGGGGGGGGGAGGGAGGGGACAGAGGGAATGCTGGATAATCAGCTGAACTGAACTCCCAGACTGATGCTGTGGCCAAAAGAACTAATGTGACTCTGGATGCATAAGTAGGGGACTCTCTAGCAGGAGTAGAGAGGTTCTTTTCCCTCTGTATTTGGCACTGGTGCCAATACTGCCAGAACCCTGGGCCAGTTTGCATGTCTGCAATGCCCAATAAAACTAGGCTAGATCCAGAAAGTGATTAGAGAGGTCTGGGAAACTTGCCGTACATTGAGACTTAAAGGAGCACAATAACTGTATTTTAAAGAGACCATTAAATGGTGGCTGGATCATGATCTAGAAGTATCCACATAGGCAGAAGTTATCAGATACTAGAGGCCTCTTTAATGTCACATTTCAGAGTAGCAGCCGTGTTAGTCTGTATCCGCAAAAAGAACAGGAGTACTTGTGGCACCTTAGAGACTAACAAATTTATTAGAGCATAAGCTTTCGTGGACTACAGCATCCGCAGAAGTGGGCTGTAGCCCACGAAAGCTTATGCTCTAATAAATTTGTTAGTCTCTAAGGTGCCACAAGTACTCCTGTTCTTTTAATGTCACAGATACAGGCAGACCAAGACCCAATGGCTAGGAGCGGAAACTGGATAAATTCAGACCAGTGGATTGGAACAGGATATATTATTATTATAATCTGATCTCCTAGAACTGGAAAGGACCTTGAAAAGTCATTGAGTCCAGCCCCCTGCCTTCACTAGCAGGACCAAGTACTGATTTTGCCCCAGATCCCTAAGTGGCCCCCTCAAGGATTGAACTCACAACCCTGGGTTTAGCAGACCAATGCTCAAACCACTGAGCTATCCCTCCCCCCCATTTAGATAATTCATTTACTAAAGGCTGTAGTGGATTCTCCAGCACTTGGAGTCTTTCACGCACAATTGGAGCTTTCTAAAAGACACACTCGAGCTCAGCCCCGAGTTTGGAATGCAGGAATCGCCGGGTAAGACTCCCTGCCGGTCAGACTAGATCACCATGATCCCATATGGTTTAAAAACATTAAAATCTATAAATGCCCGCCTGTTTTAGCAGAAACATCCAGTGCATGTGCTTACCAAGCAATCCCAAGAGCCAGCTACAGCTACCAACAGTCCTCCATGCTAGGGTTGTGTTGTGAATAGGGAAGAACATCTATGGCTCACTATGCTGAAGCTGGGAGGACACCATAGAAGTGTCCAGCAAACAAGATGCCTGGCTTGTCTCATTTTCACAATTAACTCGAAGCAGAAATATGCCTGGGCAAATGCCAAGCACCAACTCCAGCTGCTCAGTGCCTGGGGGGGAATTTGTTCTAGGGGCCTGATTTTCGATCTAAGTTACCTTAAAGGGGCCTGATCTTCAGGGTCCTCGGCAGGTTCTGAAAATCAGGTCTATCGAAGACATCTCCCATTGGATTCCCAAGGAGTGCAAATTGAACCTTTAGTCACAACCGAAAACCTTGGCCAATTAGCTCATTTCCAGGTCAGAGGGGTGAACCCCATGGTAGGTTCCAGAGGAGAGACTGAAATCCCTGCTCCACTGATGCCAATTCACAGAGTGCATTAGCTTGCCAAGTTTCATCTCTAACGGCGAGGCTCAACCGCCCCGTCCCATCAGGCCAAGAATCCATACAGCCACGACAACCTGCAGCCTCCCCCTACAAGCCCGTGGGGTCCTCTTGTCCTTCTGAACTGGCCAAGAGGAACCAGGGAGATCAGATATTAACTACAATCTGAAAGAAATTTGAGCTGGAAAATCCTATTGCATCTAGTGGGCTGCCCCTCCGCCCATCCCAATGGCGCTCTGCAGACGTCTACCAGCTTCCCTGGGAGACCAGTGCACAGCCTGAGACCTTGCTCCTGGCTCAGTCCTGTCCAGTCCACAAGGGCAGACACGTCTTCTAACGCTGCCTAGGCCATCACAGTGGCACAGGCCTCACCTCTGTACATCCCAGCTCTGTTCTGCACCCTGCCCCACACTATGTTCTACACGGGGGCTGGCAGTTCAAACCTTACAGCAGCAGAAACAGGGAGGCTTTGGTTTTACAGCCGCAATATCCTTCCCTCCTGTGATATTCATGAATCCCACTTTGGGCTGGGTGTCTGGACAGAAGGGAGGGGAGGGGTGCAGCAGTGACAGACAAGGCGCCTCAGGTTTCTTCCCCAATTTGAATAGGTGCTCAGTTACCCACAGCCAACAACAGGGATGCCAGGTGCTCACTGAGCCACCCAGACTGGTAACGTTCAGCGAGCAGATTTGGTCATCAGGAGCTATTTGCAGAATGATCATTTTGGTCTCTGTGCTCCAAAGTGGTGGAAACTTGTAGGGGTTCTATTCAGTGGGGCCAAGCGGATTATCCAAGGGAATGGGATATTATGTTTCTATAACTAGAAGATAAAAGAAACAGAGATGAGTTGTGCCAAATGGATGCCGCTCCATGCACCCCCAGCTCCCAAGCTCATTTCCACTCCAATTCAAGTCCATCTCCAGAGCAGCACAAATGGGTGGAGGGGAAGCATCACTTTCCAGCTATGACGCTGGGGCCTGCGAATTCACCTCCACTCTGAAAGGTGAAGAAAGAACTCTGCAAGCTGTACCCGAGTGTGTTTTTATTAGAAAGCAGGACAGGTGGGCAGGGTGCCTGTGGCAGTCACAGCTCGAAGGTGTAGGAGATGATGTCCGAGCAGCGGAGCAGCGCCTCCCTGTGCACACCTAGTGGGGTCTGCAGGTCGGATACCTGGAAGTTCAAGATGTCAATGTCTGAGGCGTCGAAGAAGGCCGAGACGTTGACTCTCTCGTACATCGTGAAGTGGATGGTGTGGCCAACCATGGCAAACAGGCTGCGCAGGTACCGCTCCCGCAGAGCCACGCGGGCCTGTTGCTCCCGCTCCAGATCTGCCTCGTTCCCACAGCCCATAGTGGAGATGCTGATGGGGCTCAGAGCCTGGTACCGAGGGGAGTTGGGGTCAAAGCCACGGCTTGTGCCATCCGGCCCACGGGGCAGGCGGATCACGCTGACTGGCACCTTCATGGCAGGCTCCTGGGGGCAAAGGCAGCAACACGTGAGCTGGCAGCGCAAGTCCCTGTGCCAGAGCAATACTTTCCACAGACTAGGGATGTAAATAGTGGTTAAAAAAATGTAACTGTGTAATCTATTACAATTTTGTCAGTTACATGGTTAAACATTTAACCAGAGAACTAGTGGTGCGGGGGGTGCTGCAGCACCCCCACGTTTTACGCAGGGCCTTACCACCCACGCCCAGGGATGCTGGTCCCTGCGCCCGGGAGGTCCTGGCTGCCGCCCCCGGGACAGCAGCAGGGCCCTGGGCTCCGGCCGGCAGCAGAGCTTAACTGTTAACCCAAACCAATAAGACTGATGCTTATCGGTGAACCGGCTAAATAAACTTTTACATCACTACCACACACCTGCCTGGGAAGGGCGGGCTAGAGATACCCACAACTCCCCCCAGAGATACCCCTACCACCAACCCCCCCGCATCTCCCAACTCCCCCCCACAAAAATATACCCCCCACCTGCACCACACCTGGATACACCCAGCCCCTCCCCCCAACTCCTCCTGAGATACCCCCCACGAGCAACCCACCCCAAATACACCCATCCCCCAGCTGCCACCCCACCCCCACCCAGCTCCCCCCAGAGCTACCCCATCACCGATACACCCAGACCCCCAACTACCGCCCCCTAGTGCCACCCTATAGCAGCCTCCCCTCCCCCCCCCCAGCGTCACCCCCCCCGAGATCTCCCC